TCTAGTTAGAATATTGCAATGTTGTCTGACCACCCAATTGACGAACGAAAGTGAATATTTTATATTGTTTATTTTTGACTTCGTTTGAATAGAATGAGGAGAAAGATTCCATAAAATATCGGTTTTTAAAGCATCTCAAAAGAGATATTTATATTTATTACTACATGCCATTTCGTCTTTTTACACCATGTAATATCTGTTTTCATGTCAACGTCTTTTAGTTATTAAACTGTCAAACACCAAGCGGTCACCGGTGACCGCAACCTATTGTTCTATAATTGTGTCTACAAAACCGGTACTCGACGAGTTAAATGACAATGTTAAAATAATAACACTTCTTAATTTTGATGTAAACATTCTACCATGAGATCATGCACTTGAATAATAAAATATGATTTATTCAACTTCATAAATGTTCATAAATAACAGTTCGTTAAATTTTAGACATAGGCCAGAAAATCATAAGAATAAAGAAACTAAACACAGTTTGTATGATTGCCAAATTTTGTATGAAATAAATCTTATACGAAAATACCAGATGTCTGTTAAACTTCATCGATAGCTTTGATATTGTAGATAAAGGTGTCATAGATTGATGTCATAGGAGGTCTGAATTATGACGGAATATAAATATTACCGACAGTTGGTCGGAAGTGTTAGTGATCGCCAAGTCGCGATGATTTTACACTTGAGTGATGAGTTGATAAAGATCTTGATTATCCCCGTATCATAATATAACTATAGAAAATAAGGACTATTAAGGACTGACATGGTTTAATTTCGAGTCGCGGTAACGTGTTAAGCTAACTTCAAGCACAGAACTGGCGATCAGGGTCAGTTTGAAAATGGTCAGCAATAAGTAAGAGTATCTAAAAGCAAATACTTTCCAAAACAAAATTTGAAACATTACAAAATTCCATATTTTAACATCAGTTCGTGTAAGACATGTGAATTTCTCATCCAAGAATAGAATGTTCACATTGCTATGAGTTGGCGAGTCTCACCCGTCAGGTCGCATCGCCTGGATCGTGTCAAAGCCGGTCCGTATCGGATATCGGCCAAAAATGAACATTGCGATATTAAAGTAATCCAGTGATTCTGCAGACATGTTTGTTTTCGTTAAAATAGTTTCATATTTCTGTTTACTTCTCAGTTGGTTAAATAAGAGTTTAATTAATGAGATGGAAGCTAAAGAAGTAGGTAACAGGTATAAAATATTTGCAGTAGATGACACTTTACAGTTCCAAGCTCCTCTTTTGGTCAAAATTGGGTTAAACATAAAGATCATTGACTTTTTTAGTTTCGTGAGACATACAAAATAATTATTATGTTTTTCGCCTTAAGTAATTATTTTATGAGGAACTCGACTAGTTTCAAGCCATGCTGGAGGCTCATATTCATGAGCAGCATTCATTCATTAACTTGCATAAATATGTGTCATACATATTATAACATGCAAGATATTATTGTTATGTACATATTTCTTTCTTTAAAATCAAAATATGAAGGAGGATATGTAAAAAGAACAATTTACAAATCCACCTCCTGCACAGTACTTATTTAGACGTGATCATAATATTACTATGCGATAGTTTTGTTCGTGTAAATTAATATTTATTCAGGCCACAACTAGGTTCCAAGGTCTATTGATTTATAAATTTAAATACTAATAACTATTAGGTAATGACGCATGGCACATCGTCATAAAATTTTAACGTAAATATAATGAAGAAAAAAAAAGTGTTCCTGTGTTAAAATTATTCATCTAACAAACATACCAAGGATACAGGTTTCCTGCTGGCCGATCGAGAATTCATTGGGAGAGGAGTCATTTACAAGTTCAGTACTGGACATCCTGTGACTGATATTGACAATTTATCCTAAGGACACATCATCATCATCATAGGAAACGATTTTATAACTGAGAATTTTTGTTGTCTTGTAACAGAGAGCCATTGTTATTTTTATTTTATTTTTGTAAAAGGCCGGCATCGCACCTGTGACTCTTCTGGTGTTGCGGGTGTCCATGGGCGGCACGGATCGCTTACTATCAGGTGATCCGTCTGCTCGTTTGCCTCCTATTCCATAAAAAAATATTTACACTTCTATATAATTATAACATACGATGGCGGACTTAATGCCGGGGTGGCCATTCTCTAACAGTCAACCATGGCGTGATGCAGAGATGTGCATAGGTGTAATAGGTGTTATGATCTATAAAAATAAATTCATAATTATGCATAACTGTAAATACATACATATATCCGTATATATAGGTATAGTTAATATAAATTTTATAAGATACATTAAATGTTATGTCAAACACCAAGTTCTACTTCGAAGCTCCATGCCATATTTCGAAATCTGAAACCCAAAAATGTTCAAGTCGTGCTCAGTGGTCGTGCCAGCACTATGCGATACAGTCTTTCAGTGAATCAGAAATGTTTTTAAACATTTTTTCTCTATCCATTAATGGTCTCAGATTGACCATTTAGACAGGTCTTAAGCTACTTTGATTGACATTACAAAACGTAGTGACAAAATTTTTGCGGTTAAAATGAAAGGAATTTTGTGACTAACTGCATTTTGGTAAAAACATTACTGCTATTTTTTCTATTTTAAAAGAGATAATCCGAGAGTAAAATAGCATACTTATGTTATTTCACTTTAAAAGTATCGATAAAAACCACTCCCATCACTAAAAGTGTAAAAAAATGTAATATCTTACAAGCCCGGTAGAATATGAAGTACTAGAAACTTCTCTTCTCTCGTCTTAATATAATAAATTATTATTAAAATCTTCTTTATTTCAATAACAATAGAGTTGATATAGAAAATAACAAATATGTTCGCAAATGGAAAGACAAATAGCAATAATGGGTTTTGATCGCAATTTATAGTGAAGGGGTCACAATAAAGGTGGGTCACTATAATATATTTTATTGTTATACCATCATATAAATATGTAAAATAAGTAATATATCTATTTTATATTGTTATTTATGATCTATGACCATTTCTAAACAATAGGGTCACACTGTTGTTATGTAAAAGCGTATGACATACCCCCGGCACATAAACGCATTTATTGTTTCAATGATCAACTATATACCTTTTATATTTTTCTATAATTTTTATTGAATAAAAAAGAAAGTAGTGAGGTGACAAAAATATCGATGAGTGGGATACTTTTTTGAGCTAACCTCATTCAGTGATCGTTTTTATTCCACTTTTCAACTTGATACTTTACTCATCTACAAAAAAATAGGTGAAATAGGTAAAAAATTGGTTAATTGTATTTTTTCTGGTAGTACGAGTAGGTACACTTGTTACGTGTAACAGCTTCTTGTACTGTTATAAGATCACGTCTCATAACAGTGTACTGTGAATCACTTCTTGGTACTTGATACTTGATTCTTGTAGGTATTTTAATTTTCGATGACAGCCTACCTATTTATAGAAGACTTTTTGTCTGTCACTACTATAATGACGAGATTTTCGAACTCTGTGGCGACGATTGCTTTTTTCTACTACTTAAGTTTACGTACAAGATCTCGTTAAGTGCAAAAATAGATTCTACTTAAAGACTCCGTTAGTTTAAGAACATTTTCCTGTTACCACCCACTTATTTCCGAAATAAGAAAATACACAAGCGGTATTATTTAAAGTATTTCCTTGATTTAAAGTAAACAATAATATTTTAAGCCTCGTCTTGAGTCATGAGGATATTAAAATAAAAAAACACTAAACTTTTCTGTTATTTATTTCTTTATTGTAAGTATTGACCCCCTTTTTTAATTTGGAGAAATAGGTATTATAATAATTGCAGTAAATTTTCTAGTAACCGCTGCCTTTTTTCGCAATCAAACAGGCTCTTGGTTTATTTCCTATTACGAGTATATAGACAACAAACAGGAATTGTAAAAATTGATTGTCACAATTAAAAATACATAATTTCACTCTCCGTTTGAAGGAGTTAGACAAATAACGTAATGTTACGTTATAATTTAATTTCCTACGGATTCAAATACGATTTATAGTCCCGAGTTATTGATTTTACGTCAGAAAGTGATCGATCATTGAATGTTGTTGATTTTTTTCTATTTTTATAACTCCAGTCAATATAACACGCTCACATATTTCATGTCTTATCCTTGATGTAATTATAGTCACGAGTTGATCGGGAATGGCTGTGAGAAAATAGTTACATCGCCTCTCGATTACGTTGTTAGGTCTATCGATATTTTTATTACTTTTCGGCCTGCGACTATGCATGAAATTTTTAGAAAGACCAATTCCATAGAAATATCGAGTTCAGGAACACTACAGAAAAGAATGCAATTGTATTAATAGTCATATTAATCTAACCCAATTTCAAAATCATATCTCGACTGTTCTATCGACACTTTCGCAGCACTAAAATTCTAGACGATTTATTTAAAGTTTGTAACACTAAGTGAAGCTCAAGGAATAGTTGTTTGACACTAACCTTGATTTGCGTTAGTAGGTGTTTAAGGCCCTCGTATTAAGGGCAATAGAAGTCGGATATAGTCAGTCCACTTTATCACAAACACTCAGCCTAACATTTACCATTTACCATATTTGGCAGTTATAATGCTAATCTATTCTCTGGCGCCACGCGACCCGTAGTCGGTGACAACAAACATTTTATATAAATTCACGTTATTTTATTTACATTAAACTAATATTCCACACCCATTATAGTCGAAAGAGTTATGCAGAGGGCACATATTAATTGTGACACCCACGTTTAGCCAGTTATGTATATTGTGAGTTTCGTTTCATGTTATAGGGGCCAGATTCAGACGCATTTATATCTAATATAGCTAAATATTTATAAATGATGTTTTATATGAAAAAAACCCATAATTATGTAAGAAACTATACTTGTTCAATAGTTCATAGATTGCGTTTCTGATGCTGTCAGACGCTCATCTTCAGTGTAAAATAGATCCTAATAGATATTTTTTTCTTTACAGGTCTTTGGCGTGCCCTGGCCTCATCAGCTTACGAGATGGCCGGCGTCACATGAAACTTCAACAAAACCAATCTATCCGTGAACAGTTGATCGAATTTCAATCAAGAGGAATTTTTCAATCTAATGCTAAACCTGTGGCGTGACTCAGTGATATCATTTCACTATAGATTTATAGACACTCGCTTTCAACAAGTGATATTTCGTTACGGTGATCGTGTGTGAATCGAGAGAGCCGCCATGACGATTCAAGGGCCCTCTCTGTTCTACATTTTGATAATGTAAGTATTGAACAACATCTGCTTCAAGTGCAATTAAGTTTATCACTTATAACGTATCTACATCAATAAATCCTTGCATTAAGCAATGTTTTATTGCCGTTTATTGAGTTATCTTAACACAGAGACTTTGTAATTGTACGTATGCGTTGAATTGACTTTGAGCGTTTCGTTCAGTTTTGAATGATTTCTACAACAAAAAATACATTATTTAATTAGGCTCTTTTCTGAATTTAACTCGTCGAATACCGTCATTATAGACACAATTATAGAACAATAGGTTGCGGTCACCGGGGACCGCTTGGTGTTTGACAGTTTAAACTATCTTTACACTATAATTTGCATACTCGAGTTAAGCGTAAAAAGCATAAATGACAATTAACACACAGACTAAGGGCCAATGTTTCAATACTCAGATTTTAACTGAGGAATAACTTTCAATATTTGACAATTCTTTCATACTAAAAACTGTCAAATGTCATTTTTATTCTACAGTTAACAATTATATAAAAAAAGCAAAATCGGCTCTAAGTATGTATTTTAATTATAACAGCTATCAAAATTCATTGATCATCTTTAACAAGCCAATCAGTGACTAAAGTATCAAGATTTAATTATGATATCCAAATCACTATAAAATTGAGAAACTATTGTAAATAGTCGCGGAACTGACAACCAACGCCTTTGCTTATTGTCTTTTATGATTTATTTTATGACTATAGTACTTATCATCGAATTTATGCTCGTCATAAATAATATTTATGCTCGTAATAAGTTTTAATGTAATTCTTATACAAATGTTTTAGAGATTTTGATCTTGTTCTTTTGGTTTAATTGCTCGTTTGTAAATGAAGATAGCAAAATATTAATTATTTTATGTAAATAGAATGTCATGGATATGGTTTGCCGCAGGCTCTTGTTCGTTTTTATTTGACAAAAAATGTTAATGAAGAGTTCTAAGATGTTGGTTGGTCTATGCCCTGAGGTCCTAAAGATCATTATCAAGTAAATTTAATAATTTTGTAATATTTTATTTAAGTTTATAGAACAAGAAGTTTTCGAACTCTCCTTGTTCTTGAGCCCGCGCGTCTGTTGAATATTTTAGTTATAAATTTTTTATTGGTTGACTAAGTAGGTACAGGTGACTAGGTAGGTGCATACCTATTTACACTAATGTTTTGAAAATGAATTCTGGAATTCTGTCTGCTATATGACTATAGACACCTTCACACCTATTTTTTATTTTTAACGCTGGGATTTTCTCCTGTGTCGTGGGTACGTTTACAAACATACATGTTCACCTACACATGACACTCAGACTCGGAACAACAATCTGTGGATCACACAAAGAGTTGTTCTGTGCGGGAATCTAACCCGCGACACGTTACGCGGCAGCCAGTTGCTCAGCCACCGCGCCAACCGTGCAGTCAAGATGTAATGATTGTAGACACCTTACATCAATTAAATATGATCTCTGATAAACTTGAAACTTATAGACAGCGATCTCCAAAGTTTCTAACAATACTTGACATGACAAATCCTTTATGAAAAGTTGAGAAGGCTCATGGTTCAGCAGTGGACCGTCACCGTCTGCTGATCATGATGATGATGATGATATAACCTCGGAATGTTAGGTATGTGTAGTAAAGCAAAAAGCGTTTGTGTGTTTTTCTTTCAAGATTCCCTGTGTAGAGCGTGTGTTGAAAAAATCAATCAATCAAAATGTATATCTGTTCCAAAGTGCGTACGTGCGTAATTTGTTTGTACTGTATACCATTGTTATATCGGTACGTCTTTTTTAAATATCGGTCGATTTCATTGGCCATTTAGATCTAGATCAACTTCTATGCTCGACGTTTAGAAGTAGACTTAGGAATTGCAAATATTCTGTAATAGAAGGTATTCTTCGTGTGTATTTTACAAATTAAAATATTTGATACAAGTTTAATAGCAAAGGAGTCATAGAAATCACATTAAATAACTTCTCATAGCAAGAGTAACATTACCATACATCGAAACGCAATAATAAAAACAACATCTAATTCTAAAGACAACAATTTATAGTATTTGCTGTTTATACCTTCAGTAATGGGTAAAATGAAACCAGTATCAAGTGGCAATAATCTACGATATATCGAACCAAACAACTATAGGCTTTATTCTCGTTAGAATAGAAATTAGATCAGCGTAATCGCAGCCCTCATCCCGAAACATTCCCGGGCAATTTCTTATCTATATTAAACGCGTTTTAATTCTGTACACCATTACTAAGTGTTAATCTAAATTGCGTAATTGCGTGGTCGATATTTATGAATGGTGCGGTCGTACGTGCGGTGGGCGATCCGGTCCGGCACGGCGAATTCTATGTCACCGGCAACCGGAGCGGTCTTTCCTAACTTACTGGAGAAATGTTAGAGGGTGTCAAATGAACGCGTTATTTATTGCTCGGTACCTGAGTGGGCTTAATCCAGAATGTTAATTTGGAACTTCGTTAACCGATGATGGCTTTAGATGCTTCCGATTTAATAACGACGTCTCCTTGCTGGGCGGTTAATTGCATGGGACTACTTTCTTCTAGAGTGATTAAAGAGTATTTTCAGTCTTCGTAAGCTTAGCTTAGTTTTATTAAATTGAACTCATGAAGATGAATGATGCTGTCGTAACTATTTAATACTTTTTTAAGTTTCTCTGATTAACCTAAACTTTTTAAACTAACGTCTCTAAAGTCCAAATCCGCCTGACAGCTGGGATGATGACAGGGTATGAAAATCAAAAATGTAATTAGTCCGTAAGTTAGGTAGTAAAAAAATATTAGACACGTAGGCATTTTTTCATTAATGATAAAACACATTATAATCTATATTTGACTAGATCACAACACTTATATAAAAGTAGTAGAAATACCGTTTCAATGAGTAACCTCCGTGAGTAATGTCACCAAAAATGTTCAAGTAAATAGGTGACACAATTACACTAAAACCATATGCAGTTGTAGACACATAATATTTAAATTCCAACCAAGTTATTCGGAAAAAAAAACTCGGAAAATTCGGTCGTCTCGACATAATTTCACGTTCCATTGAGATGCGGTCATTGGAAAGATGTTCAAAGTAATATTTTCTCTAATGATCCCCTAATGTGGGTGCTAATAGGTTTCAGCATCAACTTTAATGCAATATTCTAATAGCGGTTCACATTTTTCTTCATACCAAACTTATTATGCAAGAGAAATGATCTAACTACATTTTTGTTAGATAGGAAATATTCGAAGCGGTATTTTATTTATCTTTTTAACATAACATAACATAACATCCACTTTTTATCCCCGAAGGGTTTGGCAAAGGTGCACATTACTAGATCGTAGTACCTAATAGGGGGTGAGCCTATTGCATTACCATATACCGGGCACAATTCCAGACTCCGTGCTACTACTGAGAATTTTTTAAAAATCCAGTAGTACTTTGCCCGACCTGGGAATCGAACCCGAGACCCCTTGCCCGGCAGTTGCACTTGCAATCACTCTGCCAACGAGGCAGTAATTCACTTTTTTTTAATTAAAATTACAAATTATGACCTTCCACTAATGGACTATGAGCCTTAGAGCCTTCTGTACAATTTTGATGCCTTTTTTCATAATTTCCACATTAGCAAGTGATTTGGAATTCTCTGTGGAATTCCTAGTTTTAAATCTTTAGGTTTATCAAATAACACTGATTTCCAATCTTTTTTTAAACATATCTAATATACAGACCATTTTATATTTTTTTATATTATTTTTCATAGTCGTTTTATTTTATTTATCTTTTTCAATATACACACCTACCTCAATCGGGTCTTACGAAACCCACGGGAAGAGGAAAGGTGTTGACAAAAATTATTCTACTCTACAATAAACTGGCCCCATTAATCATCATCACTCACGTTGGCATCACCAATGCATAATATATTGCGCTTGCAGCTCCAATTACTACGAAAAAAGAACACAAATCTATTTATTTACTTTAGATATAACAATGACTGCCTCGTTGGTCGAGTGGTCGCAAGTGCAACTGCCGGGCAAGGAGTCTCAGGTTCGATTCCAGGGTCAGGCAAAATTTAGCAAGGTTTTAAAAAAATTCGCAGTAGTAGCACGGAGTCTGGAATTGTGCCTGGTATATGGCAATATAAGTGGGAGTGTGGGAGAGCCATGCTTCGGCACGAATGGGCCGGCTCGACCGGAGTGATACCACGGCCTCACAGAAAACCGACGTGAAGCAACGCTTGCATTGTGTTTCGTCGTGTGAGTGAGGTAACCGGAGGCCCAATCACCTTCCCCTTCCCCAATTTCCCCAATCCCTGAATCCCCAACGATCCTCAAACTCCTAATCCCCAAAAAGCCGGTGACGCACTTGTAACGCCTCTGGTGTTCTAGATGTCCATGGGCGACGCCGATTGCTTACCATCAGGTGATCCGTCTGCTCGTTTACCGGCTTATGGCATAAAAAAAAAAAAAAAAATATACTGACCCTCTATTACATAGGGCTGATATCATAAAAAGTGAAAAGTGGGTGTTACACTGTACAGTGACATAATATGCACTCTGCCTACCCCTTTTAGGACAAAAGGCGTGATGTTGTTATGTTATATAACAATGATTGAAATGTCAAAACATAGGTAGGTACATACACGCGGCCATTGATCGAGCTATAGGTACCAACAAGTATAACATCCAGCCTAAATTGACCATTGAAAGTTGAATCTTCTTTCAATGGTCAATTTAGGCTGGATGTGCATAGCTTGATGTGCCGTGCATTCGTATATCAATGCTAGCCTATGAGATCACCTCAATACATTTAATTGAATTTACAGAGTGCACGAATAACTATCGCATTCGTAACGTAATAGTATCGAGCGCGTTCGGCGCTCTGATTGGCCGGCTCAAGTGAACCAACCAATCAGAACGCTTAACTCGCTCGAACGATTAACGATACGAATGCGATAGTTATTCGTGCTTGGCCCTCAGT